GGATAGTGGTTATATTGGTAGAAGGATGTTGGAGATGGAGATGCCAGGCAAGAGGTCAAGAGGAAGACCAAAGACAAGATATATGGATGTGCTGAAAGAGGACATGAAGGTAGTTGGTGCAAGAGTAGAGGATACTGAGGACAGAGTTAGGTGGAAAAGGATGATTCGCTGTGGCGACCCCTAAACTGGGAACAGCCGAAAGGAAAAGAAGAAGTGGTCATCACGTTTATATGCCAAAGGTCCCCAGTTCGAAACTAGACGGAAACAACAAGAAGGAACTTTTTCTGAAAATCTACTGTGGTATTTTGTTTTTGAACATTAAGGAATTTAACTTTTGTGTTATTTTATCCAAAATTATTGAAAAAAATATGAAAATGAGTACAATGTAGGTTTCCGTAGTGTAGTGGTCATCACGTTTGCCTCACACGCAAAAGGTCCCCAGTTCGAAACTGGGCGGAAACAACATGATGAAACTTTTTCTAAAAATCCACCTGATTTTTCTTGTGTGTTTTAGGACATTGAGGATTTTTTTTGTGTTATTTTATGCAAAATGATTTGAAAAAAATGTGAAAATTACAGCTGTGCAAGTTTCATTACTGTAGTGGTTAGCACGTTTGCCTAACACGCAAAAAGTCCTCAGTTCGAAACTGGGCGGAAACAACAACAAGAAGGAACTTTTTCTGAAAATCTACTGTGGTATTTTGTTTTTGGACATTAATGAATTTAACTTTTGTGTTATTTTATCCAAAATTATTGAAAAAAATATGAAAATAAGTACAATGTAGGTTTCCGTAGTGTAGTGGTCATCACATTAGCCTTACACTCTAAAGGTCCCCAGTTCGAAACTGGGCGGAAACAGCAAGAAGGAACTTTTTCTGAAAATCTACTGTGGTATTTTGTTTTTGAACATTAAGGAATTTAACTTTTGTGTTATTTTATCCAAAATGATTTGAAAAAAATGTGAAAATTACAAATGCGTAAGTTTCCGTAGTGTAGTGGGCATCACGTTTGCCTAACACGCAAAAGGTCCCCAGTTCGAAACTGGGCGGAAACAACATGAAGGAGCTCTTAATGAAAATCTACCGTGGAATTTTCTTTTTGGACATTAAGGAATTTAACTTTGTGTTATTTTATCCAAAATTATTGAAAAAAATAGGAAAATAAGTACAATGTAGGTTTCCGTAGTGTAGTGGTCATCACGTTTGCCTCACACGCAAAAGGTCCCCAGTTCGAAACTGGGCGGAAACAACAAGAAGGAACTTTTTCTGAAAATCTACTGTGGTTTTTTGTTTTTGGACATTAATGAATTTAACTTTTGTGTTATTTTATCCAAAATGATAGAAAAAAAATGTGAAAATTACAACAGTGTAGGTTTCCGTAGTGTAGTGGCTATCATGTTTGCCTAACACGCAATAGGTCCTCAGTTCAAAACTGGTCGGAAACAACATAAGGAAACTTTTTCTGAAAATCCACTGTGGTATTTTGTTTTTGGACATTAAGGAATTTAACTTTTGTGTTTTTTTTATCCAAAATCATCAAACAAAATGTGAAAATCACAGCTATGTAAATTTCCGTAGTGTAGTGGTCATCACGTTTATATGCCAAAGGTCCCCAGTTCGAAACTGGGCGGAAACAGCAAAAAGGAACTTTTTCTGAAAATCTACTGTGGTATTTTGTTTTTGGACATTAAGGAATTTAACTTTTGTGTTATTTTATACAAAATGATTTGAAAAAAATGTGAAAATTACAACAGTGTAGGTTTCCGTTTTGTAGTGGTTATCATGTTTGCCTAACACGCAATAGGTCCTCAGTTCAAAACTGGTCGGAAACAACATAAGGAAACTTTTTCTGAAAATAGACTGTGGTATTTTGTTTTTGAACATTAAGGAATTTAACTTTTGTGTTATTTTAACCAAATTTATTGAAAAAAATGTGAAAATTAGAACCATGTAAGTTTCTGTAGTGTAGTGGTCATCACGTTTGTCTAACATGCAATAGGTCACCAGTTAGAAACTGGGCGGAAACAACATGAAGGAGCTCTTTCTGAAAATCTACTGTGGCAATTTGTTTTTGGACATTAAGGAATTTAACTTTTGTGTTATTTTATCCAAAATGATTAGAAAAAAAATGTGAAAATTACAAATGTGAAAGTTTCCGTAGTGTAGTGGTCATCACGTTTGCTTTACACGCAAAAGGTCCCCAGTTCGAAACTGGGCGGAAACAGCAAGAAGGAACTTTTTCTGAAAATCTACTGTGGTATTTTGTTTTTGGACATTAAGGAATTTAACTTTTGTGTTATTTTATCCAAAATTGTTGAAAAAAATATGAAACTTAGAACAGTGTAGGATTCTGTAGTGAAGTGGTTATCACGTTTGCCTAACACGCAAAAGGTTCTCAGTTCGAAACTGGGCGGAAACAACATGAAGAAACTTTTTCTGAAAATCCACCTGATTTTTCTTGTGTGTTTTAGGACATTGAGGATTTTTTTTGTGTTATTTTATGCAAAATGATGCGAAAATTACAGCGGTGCAAGTTTCATTACTGTAGTGGTTAGCACGTTTGCCTAACACGCAAAAAGTCCTCAGTTCGAAACTGGGCGAAAACAACAACAAGAAGGAACTTTTTCTGAAAATCTACTGTGGTATTTTGTTTTTGGACATTAAGGAATTTAACTTTTGTGTTATTTTATCCAAAATGATTTGAAAAAAATGTGAAAATTACAAATGCGTAAGTTTCCGTAGTGTAGTGGTTATCATGTGTGCCTAACACGCAATAGGTCCCCAGTTAGAAACTGGGCGGAAACAACATGAAGGAGCACTTTCTGAAAATCTACTGTGGTAATTTGTTTTTGGACATTAAGGAATTTAACTTTTGTGTTATTTTATCCAAAATGATTTGAAAAAAATGTGAAATTTACAAATGCGTAAGTTTCCGTAGTGTAGTGGTCATCACGTTTGCCTCAAACACATAAGGTCCCCAGGGCGGAAACAGCAAGAAGGAACTTTTTCTGAAAA